CAAGGTTATTTGGGCATGTGTTGCTCAATGTATTGGTGCTAATGACATCCCTCACGATCTTAAACATTGTTGGTTGTGGTTGGATAGATGGCTTCCCCATGGCACGAAGTTCCATGTGTGGGGGGTAGCTGCCATCTGCTGGGCTATCTGGAAAACTCGAAACAGAGCGCGCTTTGATAAGAAATTGATTAAGAATCCTATCGAGATCATTTGCCATGCCGGGGCGTTAATGAAATTTTGGACTCGCAGAAGCGGATAGGAAGATTTTGGAAGAGGGGGTCAATACCATGATGAAGATAGCGATGAACATTCTGTCATCTAAGCGGAGCAAAACCTCCATGGCTTCAGACAAGCAGAACCCGAAGGATGGCGGGACTTCGGACAAATGACGAAGATGGTAAAGGGATGTTGAAGAAGATTGATGTGGTTTGTATGTGGTGACTTCTCGCTTTTGGTGGTGGTTTTTTCGGTGGTCTTTTTTGGATGTTCTAGGTAGTTTATCTGAATAGTTAGTGTTGATGGTGGTTTGATAGGCAATCTTCTGCACAGTTACTGCTGGTTAGTTGTTTCTGTTGATCTGATGGTTCCTCTTGCGCTGGATGGTTACGCGCAGTTTGTCAGGATAGCGTAAAAGCTCGTTTCTGTTGCTCTCTCTGGTATCCTCTTGCGCGGGTTGGTTAAGCGCAGTCTGTCCTCTCTTTTCTGATGCTTCTTCGAACATCTAAACTCTCCGTATTTCCGTTCTTATGAATAGGAATGGGGAATCTCCCCTTGTCGAAAAAAAATTCTGGCGCACCCGCTGCCCTAGCAGTTGCCACATGACAGCCTTCCACACGTGCCTCCGAGACCTCGTCCAACGCATCCATCGCCACCTAGACGGCATGGCTATAAAGCCAATGCCGAGACCTCCTTCTCCCATGAAATGCGTTCGCTGCCACGCACTGCCGAGTGGCACAACACCCTCTCCGTCTTCGTCCCCGCTCTGCTCTGGAATCTGGACGAAGAGAAGCCGGCGTACGTCCCTCCTCCTTCCGCGTCGGCGCCACGCGCGACGACATCAGCATTGTTGCAGCTCAGCATAGCACGGTGCCACAGCCTCGCTTCATCACTGCATCAGCACCCACCTCGATCGGCATCTTTGAAGTCTTCGCTCGCCGGCGTGCCGGAGACGAGGAAGACAACCCCTGGATCACACGGTGAACACGCACGAACACACACAAACTCACGCGAACTCAGTGGATTAACTCCAATGGTTTTGGTGGTGCAAATGTCACACCATTTTCCTCTGTCTATTGCTGATTAAATAAGCAAAGAATACATGGCCTGAATTGGCCCTTGATCACTAGGGCGTGCATGCTATGGACTCCTACAGGTCCGCGCCATCCCACGGACGAGATCACAGCTTGCGATCACCACTACTTGCTAAGTCTACACAGCTAGAAAAGAGGAAGGCCTTTGCATGGACGCAGCATGCATCAGGCTTACAGACGCACTAGACTTGGCTAAGATCGAGTCCAGATTTCCTATCTATAGCCGGAGTAAAAGTAGGAGCTAATTGAGCGTGGATTATCCAACATTCTCCCCCTAATTCATGCTCAATTCTTCAACTTGACGACGTCAATCATATCGCGGAGTTCACATAACCTCGCGCACCCCAGTGACTTTGTCAGAACGTCGGCGAGCTGCTCCTCAGTGCTCGCGTAGTCCACACGAATCTTCCCGCTGTCCACGCACTCGAGAATGAAATGAAACTTAGTGTCAATATGCTTACAGTGATAGTGTAGAATGGGGTTCTTGCTTAGGGCGATTGCAGACTGGTTGTCCATCTTCAAAATTGGCTGCCGGACATTCTTCCCTGTGATGTCGCCCAGCAGCTGAATGAGCCACATAGCTTGGCAAGCTCTTGCTGCGCCTGCTATGTACTCCGCCTCACAGGTGGAGAGCGCCACCGCCTTTTGCTTCTGGGACTGCCATGTGACCGGCAGCTCCCCCAGGAAGTAGATCACCCCGACAGTGCTTCTCCTTTCATCAGCGCCTACCCCCCAATCGCTGTCACTGTAGCCCGTCAGCCTGTTGTCACCGTTGCGCAGCTTGGGGTAGACGATGCCGTAATCCACCGTGCCAGCGATGTAGTGCAGTAGATGCTTGACGGCGACAAGATGCTCCTGCCGCGGCTTCTCCATGAAGCGCCCGACATAGCCTACGGCGAAGGTGATGTTGGGGCGTGTGTGCACCAAATACCGCAAGCTGCCCACCAGGCTTCGGTACATGGTTGTGTCCACCTCCGGCGTTGTGCTTTTGGTCGACAGCCGAAGGCGCACATCCATTGGTGCTGGACAGGGCTTGCAGTTCGATAGCCCCGCCTTCTCCAGGAGCTTCTTTGCATACACCGCCTGCACCAAGGGATTTTTTAACACGTTTTTAAACTATTTTCAAATCTGACACTGTTTAATTTTTTTTTCAAAACTAACACTTTTGGCCGCGCCTATTCGCATGGCGCGGCAAAATCACTCTACCGCGCCATGCATGGCGGCGCGGCAGGGGCAGTCAACGGCTGCGGCGACCGCTGACGTGGCACGTCTGACGCGGCACCCATCACGGCGCGGCGGGCCTGCCGCGCCACGCATCACGGCGCGGCAGACCTGCTACTCCTACTCGCCTTGTATTTATGCTGTTGTGCCTGCACACAAAGCCTGTATGGCCCTATGGGCTGGCTATGGTAGAGCAAGCTAGGAGGAGATGTGTACACAGAGACATGTGAGTGATGTGACACCACGGTAGCACAAGCTTCGCCATTGTGACCTGACACAGTGACACCACTCCCTCGGTCTCTGACTTGCTTTTTGACTGTGCACTTGACGCAGCGCCATTGTGACATGCACAGTGCTTGAGAGCAGCTCACGGGCTACCAGCATCTGACTGTGTGCAGCTCACGGGCACAAAAGAAAAAGAATCGAGTCACTTATTAATCTGCAACAAGAACTAAACGGCCTGATTGAACCAAAGAAAGATATTGCCATACAACCAGGAATGTATGTTTCTCTTCCTCCCAGCATGCCAGAAACAGCTGAAGAAGAGAATGTTGATCCCAGCAAAGACACCGCTACTTCAACCTCAGAAACAGAGCAACATGGCCTGGCAAACAACGCCAGTAGCAATAAGCCCAAGAATTCAGGCCATCGAAGGAGAAACAAAGCTAATGCATCGAGAAGACAGCCTCACGGCCAGCCACCTAGGCAGCAGTGGCAGAGGAAGGAAGCAGACACTTCACACCAATAACATTGAAGCAATGAGGAGGATGTGACTTGTGAGTTGTTTTTATCGGTTATGTATATTAATGTCGTGCCCTGTATTTGTTTCATAATTGTGAGGCTGGTACACAATCAGATGTTGGTAGCCCGTGAGCTGCTCTCAAGCACTGTGCATGTCACAATGGCGTTGCGTCAAGTGCACAGTCAAAAACCAAGTCAGAGACCGAGGGAGAGGTGTCACTATGTCAGGTCATAATGGCGAAGCCTACGCTACCGTGGTGTCACGTCACTCACATGTCTCTGTGTGCACGCCTCCTCCTAGCTTGCTCTACCATAACCAACCCATAGGGCCATACAGGCTTTGTGTGCAGGCATAACAGCAGAAGTACAAGGCGAGTACGAGCACTTAGTGGCTAAGTGCGTGACAAAGCCATGAATTTAGACATACCAGTGAGAATATATTTATCCTAAGTTCGAAAGTAGTCCAACACGTCGATGAATCACAGGACAGAACAGAAGTAGTTGGTAGGCTCTCACACTCACACAAGTTCACAACGGCATCCGCGTGTCTGTTCTTTTGCTAGCTCTTGCATGCGCGCACGCACAAGGAGTCAAGGAGACATGGCCGGCTACCTCAACGATGAGTCATGCATGCATGGCTCAACTTGTTTTGTTTCCCAGCGATGCCTTGCACACGATCGAAACCTGCATGCAGATATGTATGCATGTATTTACTCAGAATTCAAGTGTAGTGCATGCAGACATGAGACATGCATGCCCATAACCAAAGTGTGTGGTCAATTCCACAGTGCGCGCGTGGAGGTGTTTTCTATGCTACAACTACTACAAGCAAGGTTTTTTGCTACCAGTAATGCATGCATGCAAACTAGCTGGCGGTCAAAGTGGTCGAGAAACCTTGTGAGACTTGACAAGGCCCAACCATAACACAGCGTCACCACACCATAAAAGCCTACACCATGACAAACTAAAGTAGAAACCGCAGCGGAGGAGAAGGGAGTCACCGGAAGAGGACACACGCCACACACACAACTGTTTTCGGCACTATTACGTGTAAAACAACCCCTAGAGTACGTAGATACCATCTCAATCCCAATATACTACGACTGGCAGTACGTAATCTAATGATCCATGAAAATCCTTCTAATTAGGAACCTAACAATGAACCCCACACCATCATGTAGTACATATCATCAGTTGTCACCAAAACACCAGAAATGTCACGCCGCCGTCATTCCAAAACCATGACTGCTGGTCTTTCAGGATCGGAGGCCAAAGGTCTCAGAAATGTCGCATCGGCGCATCGGTCGCCCAAACCCATGGCTCTTCCTCCGTGCAAGTAAATGCTTGCCGCCGGCCGGCCGCTTAGTTGCTCGGTCGAGATGCATCTCAGGCACCCGTCGTCCACCGGACGCATTCGGCGGAGCTGAAACGGCCAAGTTACGTTCAATTCACTCCTCTCATATGTGGAAGCTAGCGAGAGGGAGAGCCAATGCAGGCGTTGCATCGACCATGCACGCGCGGCCGCCAGCAACGTGTCGGCGCCGTCGTCTCCACGTAGCCGCCGCGCGACCGCCCACGTGCCCCAGCCGTCCGATGATTGGCCGGCCGGCGCCTTGTTGCCTCTTCTTAACCCCGGGGCCGGCCTGAGCGCCTGGCATTAGCAAGGAGTCGTCCACCGCCAGTGAGGTCGTCATGGAACGACGGCTCCGGGCAATCGCACCCAAGCCCATGCCGCCGGCGCGGATGATGCCCATGGGCGCCGCGGCGAGCAGCGTGCTGTGGCGGGCGCACAAGCGCGGCCGCGAAGACCATCTCCTTTTGTCGCCGCCGGTGTCAAAGAGGGAGAGGGAGTGGGAGGCGACGTCGTCGTCTTACCCTTACCCTCCAACCCCAGTCTTTCCAGCTGCCGTCGGCGGCGCCGGCGCGGCCTCCATGGTGCCGACGAGGGGACGACGGTTCATGCCTATGCCCGAGGGTCTTCTTGCAGGCTGTGAAGAGCGGCTCCGGAGACTCTCGCTTGTGGCGGGGTCTCCAGCGGCGGCGGCTGCTTCGCCGTGGCCGCCGGCGCCGTCATCGGATGCGACGAGGCGGGCGGTCCCGGTGGAGCGCGACCTGATCTCGAAGCTGCAGTTCCCCAAGGTCATCAAGCCTCGCCCCGCTCGCCCGCTGTGGACCACCATCTGCATCGACTCCAGCAACATCGCCGTCGGTGGAGGCGTCGCGTACCCGGAGACGGTGTCCGTGTCCAACAAGACGGCGAGGGAGGTGGAGACCGAACTGGAGCTCCCGGGCGCGCTTCCGTCCGTCGTGTCTGGCCACCACAACAACCGTGTCCACCTGGTGAACGACGCGTACAAGGCCATGGTGGGGCAGCCGGTGTGCCCATGGCTCGACTCCCTGCCAGGCGCCGGCGCGTCGAGGAGGATCAATGGCATAGTGGCGCTTGATGTGCGGACGTTCGGCCCCGCGCCTTGCCTGCCGAATGCCGGATCAGACGCCTTCCCGTGCACCGCGAGGATCACGTGGGAGCACGGTGGCGGCAGCGCCATGGCCTCCCTCACCGTGCCGTGCACCGTTGAGCACCTGATCGGCAGATCCGGTGACTATCGCTACGTCTGGAGGTTTGACTCCAGCAGAGCGTCCATCATGTACTGCATCACATGACAAAATGAGCCATTTATTTACATCCATGCTTTGTTTCTATCGCATGGGTTGCTGGTCGATTGAAGCTGCAAAATAGAGATGTGTAGGTGATGGATCATTAGTTTGCCTCTAGCGCCAGAGTTGATTAATTTGGATGTCACCGAAATTAATAATGTGTCCATGCATGTATAGGATATAGGATTTTCTCATGCATGGTGTTGACTGATTCAAGAGTATTACAAGAGATGCAAGGAAGGTTTTTAACTGTTACTATGTTTGTGCAACTGGTTTTTAGTGGGGTTGGGACGGGGAATACAAATTGTAAAAACTTGTCGTTTGTAATACAAGAACGACAAAATATGGATTAAGGCCCACCTTCTTTAATGTATAATATATGTGCCAAGTACTACTGTAGCAACATCGTCGTTGATGGTGGTGTCTGGCGGTGGCGGCGGTGGCAATGTTCAAGAAGACGACGAGAGAGGTGGAGACCGAACTAGAGCTCCCAAGCGCGCTTCCGGTCATCGTGTCAGGCCACCACAACCGTGTCCACCTAGCGAATGACGCGTATATGGCTATAGTATGGCAACCAGCATGCCCATAGCTCCCTAGTGAGTGTCGACACGTCAAGAGGGGGGATTAATGGCATAGTGGTGCTAGACGGGCGGGTGTTCGGCCCTGCGTCACATCTAGTGAATGCTGGATCAAGCGCCTTCCTATGCACCTCGAGGATCTTGTGATTATCACTTCATCTAGAAGTTTGACTCCAACGTATCATCAATCATCTGCTACATAACGCGACAAGCTATACCAGTTATTTACAGCCATGCTTCCATCGCATGGTTTGTTTTATAAGGTATATGCCAGTCAATTGAAGATGCACCGTAGATGTGTAGGTAAGGGATCATTAGTATGCCTTTGATGCCAGAGTTGATTAATTTGGATCTCGATGAAATTAATAATGTGCGCATGCATGTCTAGGATAGGATCTTCTCTTGCTTGATGTTACTTATTCAAGAGTATTATTATAAGTTGCAAGGAAGGTTTTAAACTTTTAATATGTTTGTGCAACTGATTTTTGGTGGGGTGGGATGGGCGATACAAATTGTCAAACCTTGTGCTTTGTGTATACCAGTGACATCATCTTCTTTCGCAAAGCATATATATATGTAGGTTGTGACATGCACCGGTGGATAGTTGTGGGTATAACCCCGTAATAAAATACTAAGGGAAAGTCCTACCATAGGATCCGTTTGTGATACACGAACGACAAAATATGGATTAAGACCCACCTTCTTTAACTTATAGTATATATGTCAATGAAGTTTTAGCAGCAAGATCGTCATTGGTGGCAGTCCGTACCCAGTGGCTGTGGTGGTGGCAGTGTCCAAGAGATTGCGAGAGAGGCAGAGATTGAACTAGAGCTCCCATCGCTTCTGGCCATCGTGTCCGGCAACCACAATCGTGTCTACCTGGCGAATGATTCATATAATTAAGGCTATGGTGGGGCAACCAGTGTGTCCATGGCTCGACTCCCTGCCTAGTGCCGATGCATCAAGGAGGATCAATCGTAAAGTGGTGCTAGATGTGCAGACATTCAGCCCCACGTCATGCCTAGTGAATGCCAGATCAGGCACCTTCCCATCCACCCAAGGATCTCATGGGAGAATGGCGGCGACAACGCGCGCAATCACCTCCCTCATTGTGACGTGCGCCATTGAGTACTTAACTGGCAAATCCGGTGACTATCACTTCATCCGGAGGTTTGACTACATTAGAGCATCCATCATCTATTGCATCACGTGACAAACTGGACTAGTTATTTACATCCATGCTTCCATTACATGGGTTGTTATATATGGTATATGTCGGCCGATGGAAGTTGCACAGTAGATGTGTAGGGAGGGATCATTAGTTTGCCTCTAGCGCCGTAGTTGATTAATTTGGATGTCACCAAAATTAATAATGTGTGCATCCATGTCTAGGTATGATTTTCTCATGCATGATGTTGAATGATTCAAGAGTATTATTACAAGTTGTAAGGAAGACTTTAATGAACTCTTAATATGTTTGCACAACTAATTTTTGGTGGGGGTGAGACTATGTGATATGCTTGTGCCAATCGCATCATCTTCTTCCACAAGGCACATTGTCGGTGTTTCGATTTACCACCAACGAGTAAATTTCTAGTTGTCGGGGACCTAATACCAGGGTACCCCAGAAGGTGGAACCGATGACCACCGAACGTGAAAAACTTCTAGATGCATAAGGGCTCCATGTCATCCCTTGTTCGAGTGACAGGAGTTCGGTTCCGCCTCGCCCGACGCCTTGAGGGCGGGCTCGGTCTCGCCTTAGAGGGCCGAGGATGAATTCCGCCTCGCCTGACCCCGGGGGGGGGGGTCACCTCACCAAGCGCCTTGGTAGGATAACCCCGCCTCGCCCCAAAAGCTCAAGGCTAATCTCCGTCTCGCCCGGCGCCTATAGGGCGGGCTCGGTCTCGCCCGAGGGCCGAGGATAAACTCCGCCTCGCCTGACGCCTTGAGGGCGGGCTCGGTCTCGCCCGAGGGCCGAGGGACGAATCTCGCCTCGCCCGACCCCGGGGGCGGGTCACCACCTGACGGCCCCCAACGAGCCTCGCCCGATCGATATCTATCCCTCATAATGATGGGTGCGGGGACGAGACAAGACGTCGGGTCAACCATGGCTCCAACGACCATACCTGCTCATACCTGGCAGAAAAGGACTGCCAGGAACGACAGACTAAAGCTTTAGACCCTTCCGGCGCCCAGCAGAGCCCAAAAGGTATTACAGTGCATGCACCTCACCTGTAGAGTTGTAGGCGCCGCCTTGACTCTGGGACACACGAACCCGACGAAGATATACGACAACCGCTACGATCCGGAAAGGATTTGCTATCTCCACGAACGATGGGTATTCCGTCACCACACGGTGGACCCAAGGGAGCGGCGCCCGCTTCCCGACCCTCGGGTCCTCCTCCCAAATGTCGAAGGCCTTGACCACGGCGTTACACGGACCCCGACCCGCATTCTCCCAACGAGGACTCATGAGAACCGAAGGCGTGCGGAGCAAGGTGGGGGAGGCTCATAAGTCAAAACCAACATCTCAAGCAGCCCATACCCTCGCAGGCAAAGATTCTATGACTAACCCGACATCCTGCGAGACATCGACAACATTGTAAACACTTATCTTCCTTCGCACTCTCATCGAGTGGAGGACCCGACGAGTAGACGTGAGCCACAAGACTAAGTAGAGTACGCATCCCGAGCCCTTACCCTTGTAAAGCCGCCCTTCGCCTATAAAAAGGGATGCGCTTCTTCCATCAAAGGGGACGGGAGAAAAAGGAGGACAAAACAATAGAACGCACTCACACACATTCAAGCAGCGACGAAGCTCTTGACCACCTTTCAATCCTTCGATCAGAGACTTGGGACCAGTCCCTCTCTCGGCGAGTTTATATCCCTTACTACGAGATCGTTACGGTGCTAATAACACAAGCAACAACAAAGCCGGGCGTAGGGACGTTTCGCCCAAACCAAAGATAAATCCTGTGTCCTTTAGCGCACCATCCGAGCCTAACGCATTACTATAAATTCACTTGCCGGTGCTTGTACGAAACACCGGCGGTTAAGCGCGCCGGTAGGGGCTTTGCTGCGTTCCAAACCAGTCTCGGATGACCACCCACGCAATCACACGGGCCCGGCGCACACGCGTGCGTTTGGCGCGACCGGATTTCATCATCACACTAGAAGGAGAGCTGGCAGCGACTCACTCAAATCGCCCCCATCTCCCCTTCCATCAACCTCGGCCATCTAAGGCTTGAGGGTCCACCGGCAACTCCCGGGAGTCCCGTCACCCAAAGAAGCCTCTCACAATGCCACCATGTGTCCGGAAGGGTCCAGATGGGCGCCCGACAGCGTTTCCGTCGGGTCTCCGCAGCGTTACGGCAACCTCTGGCCGCCTTCCTCGGCGCTTACGTGTGGTTCAACCACCCACGGACATCGAGTTCGTGGGGGCGATTGAGCGGGATACGGAGACCCTCTACGAGCTCCTCAACGAGGAGCTCAGACGCTCTCCGGCTCGATTCCAGCGAGGGGGAGCCACCACCCTTCCCGAGAATGCTACATGACGCAGACCCGAGGGTCATGTCGAAAGCGCCTCGGGGAGAGGGCCACCCCACGAACAATCCCCGACAAAGCAGATCCGTGGAAGAAGGGACAGCCCCATCTCGCCTGAGGATGGAGCAGCTAAGGGCTCGTCGGCAAGAGATCGATGAGGCCGGGCAAGGGCTCACGTGGGAATACGCGGACATCAATCGCGAGATTGAACGCCGCAAAGACGGGGGGCGCGCGCTACGCCAGCCCGCACCGTACATCAAAGGATCCTCACCGACGATGGGGCCTTTCCTCACTTTGCTCGAGCCACCGTAACATCGCCGCGGCGACCGCCTTTGCTGCATGGTCTCCGGAGGCCACGACGTCCAAGGATCGACGCTTTATCGGAGATTCGCCGCGTTGCTCGAAGCGCGCCAGCAGCGCCAGCAAGAAGAAAAGTTCGTTGTCTCGGCGACGTGAACCCGACACCACCAGGCGCGCACCTTCGGTGCATCCCACCAAGGACGATCCGTACACCAAACACCGCCGGCCGGCGGGCAGCCCTCCGTCGTCCCTCAGTACATCAACGCCTCGCGGCCGTGGCGCGACGTGCGTAGCATCATCGACGCCGGGAGACGTGCCTCACGGCGACGAGGGAGAAGCAGCGCGCCGCGGCTATCATCCCCGACGTGGCGGGCGCTACGACAGCAACGAGGACCAAAGCCCGAGCCCCGTCCTGCCAGGCCCTCAGGCCTTTGGCCGACACATCCTCAACGCTGCGTTCCCTCTAAGGTATCGACCGCCACGAACATTCCTAAATATTCTCGCGAAACAAACCCCGGCTTTGGCTCAAGACTATCGGCTTGCATGTCGGGCCGGTGGTGCTAGTGATGATAATTTCATTATTCG